TTCAAACAAATAAAACAACGTACCTGTAATTTTTCGAGTGCTAGGGCGGCAGATTCAGCCTGATCATAATTAACAAACGCACAGAATCTTTTGGGGAGTATCCGCACGTTGTCGACCCGACCACACCTGCTGAACAGCTGTACCAAATGTCTTTCACTGACTTCCTCAGGATTGACGTTTCCAACCCACAAGGAACGGCCAGGGCCGTCATCAACGCTACCATTTTCAACCATTCTGCGTAGAAACAGAATGCAATTAACCCTTCAACTTCCAAGATCTGATTGCTAATTCTTCCCTCCAGCTTCCACACTTTTCCTTGTTAATTAGTTGTGCGAATTTGGTGTTAGATCAGGATAACATCTACCTGATACGTTCAAGTATTATCATTACCAATTTGCAAGATAAAGTACTTTAAATACTTCTGAGAGTTAAAGGATTAATATGCGTTGGATGGCTGTCTAATGGTCAAGACATCAGCCTTACCAGCCATCTTGACCGAACAAGCCAGCGCAGTAACGCTAACACATTTCCACGCGGCAAAAAGATTAAACAAGAGAATTTTAAAATAAATATCATAGTAGAGAAGTCGCAATTTTCCACAAAGCTACGAAGTATCTAATCGCCTGTAAGTATTTCTTTCTGTGAGGAATCGAAGTTGGCAATTTCCGAAGCCAATAAGGAGATCTTACATGATTTCACTCTCAAAGTCAGTTATCAGTAAAACGCTAAAACAAAAGAAAGTTTTACATTTAACTTTCGAACTTTCGAACTTTCAACAGCACGTAGCCGAAATGTTACTCTAGACAGATATCATAAACAAATACCGTTAAAAGAGCGAACTCAATGACAAATCAGAGAAAAACTTTGAATAGAAACAGAAACGGTCGTTGTATAGATATTTATTTTAAAAGGAACCTATCCGATCGCAATTTTGCCATTCTAAAATCAGTTACCTTATTTGCTGTTTTTGTGCATCATCCTCTCCATCAGAGACGTATATCTCCGTTGAAACGGGAGAACTCACTACAAAAACGGCATGAAAGGATTGTATTAGTACACCTCTGATAAAGACTATGTATAAGCAAAGAATAAAGTTAAATAAACAAACAAACAAATGATCGGAAAGGTCTTCAGAGAGAAATGTCAGTTTTTGTTTAAGAATCAGTCATTCCCAGTACTCACTATACAGCAATTTTCTGTCAAGAGTCAAAAGTAATCCCACACTGCACTGCTTTCGCTTTACATCGCTCTTTGATTGGTCCAAGAAAACTCGCGCCAATCTCTCAACTAATCAGATGCAAAACTGAAATCAATCAGGGCCTGGTCGCCCGCGTTTTCCCGCGCCTTAGTCAGTTTGGTTGTTTTTACTGAGTGCCCATTGGCTCTTAAAATATTTCCCTTTCTTCTAATTGGCCGTTGTGATAACAGTGGTTTAGGTTTTACGACACTCAATCGAAAAGCGCGATTTTTCGACTAAGGTCAGGAAAATGGAGTTGTTTTTCAAACGATATTCACAACTATCTTCGCTTTGTAAAAGATCACGAAATATTCGCTCGCGAAGATATTACAACATAAGAAAGGCACCAATAACCCACGAAGGAGCGAGGATTGCTAAGGATGGGGGAGATTGAAACGGAATGCGAGTGACGAACGTGGAAGGTTTTAGTGTCCTTTTTCAAGATGGACAAACCGTGACGCAGCCTGTCACTTTGTTCTTGTTTTTATCTACTCGTTCATCCCTTCACCTTTTCCAGCTAGCAGTGCTTCCAAAGCGGCCTGAACTGTGCCATAAGCCTGGATAGCTGCTTCACTTTGACTCTGTGGAAATCCCATCTCCTGATAAAATGAAAAAAAAATGGGCAGTTAAGACTGCATATGGTCACTGATACCGCACAATTTTTATAGCATTGAAAAGAACCAGAGGTTGTATAATAATGCTAAAAGGTATCTTTGCATAAGATTTGTGGGATGACAATTAAGTGAGGGGAAATAAACAATCTATCATGTTCCCAATGCCAGAAAGACGTAACGGTAGCACCCCTCCCCCTCCCCCATGATGGGGATCTGTGCATGACACTACCGTACCTCTAGTTGCTGTACTCGAACCCTAGCCAGTTCAAACATGGCATCTTCACAATGTTTATCCAGTTTTAAAACTTGAGCAAAACTGCTCTCTGCGTCAGAATATAACTGAAAAGGAGAAAAAAATATCGTTACCGAAAAATAATCGCAATTGCAGTTATTGCAACTGAATAGGAAGGAAGGCCGAAATCAGCCAGGGAATTCCGATTGAAATTCCTTTTGTCTCTGATTTACAGTGCTTACGAAGATTAGCTCTAGGGACTGAAATCGCAAATTCCCAGAATATTATTTCGTTGCCACCACAGTTTTAAGAGGGGGCCTTGATTGTCAGTAAAAGTAAAAACAAGCTAACGGCCTGAAGCGCGGAAAACTCTGAGTGGCAACGTCGCCATTGGTTTAAAAATTGAGCCTGATTGGTCGAGGAAGTGGCGCTAGTTTTCTTGACTTGTCATAAAGCGCGGGAAAACAAGAGTGACCAATTCGCCATAAGTTTGAATCTAATTGGTTGAGGAAGCGGCGCGAGTTTTCTGAACCAACTACGCAGCGCAGCAAAGCAAGACCGTAGCAATCTCCTATTAGCTAAGACACCACTGAAAATTGCACTAGTAAGCACCTTTAATCCTGCCAGTGCTCTGCCTCGTCTGAAGTATCCTTTTGGCCAATCAGGTGCTAGCGATATGGCCACGTCAGCATCCTGGAGAGCTTTTTCGTATTGTCCCATGCGGTCATAACAGTAGGAACGGTTGCCGAAGAATCTGCGAACGAATAGCAAAATAAGACAGGTGTTTATTCGTTTTGTCATCGGCTTAGAATAAGGGAAAATCAAAAGTCCCCCTTGAGGAATCAAACCACAGACTTTAGTTTGTTGTTTTCCAACGAAAGAACGAACAAATAGCTTTATTCAATCCCACAGCTAAAATAGAAAAGAGTGTATGATATTATCCCAAAAGGGAAAAAGCCACCTAAGAATGTTCTTTATTTTCATTAGAAAATAGGCCTCTGTTAACAACAGTTCTTACTTAGTGAAAAAAGGTATATATGTAACTTTAACTTTAGAAAAAGAAAATAATAATTTAAAAAAACCTGAAGTCTTTTGCATCCAAGTTAATAGCTTGAGTGAAGAGATCCACGGCAGCCTGATAGTTTCCAACGTTTGCCATTTCATTTCCTTTAACTGTGGATTAGAGTGT